ACAGATTCATCACAGTATCACCAATGATGGTGCAAACACAAACTGAAATGATACAGAATGGAAGGCATAAAGAGGTTGAAAAACTGAGTTGTCTATTATTTAGAAGTTCAAAATACAGTTTCTGTTTCCTGCTTAGCTCTTGTTATTAAGCATACCATTCTAAGAAGGATACCTTAACAGAAATAAATTAGAGAAAATAGTGCACATTTGTCTGGATGTAGAATAGTGTTTGCCATTCTGAAATYCATTCTGACAAAACTCATGAACCTGTATTTTGATATTCTGGAAAACGATGTCCTTATATGAGAAACCTTTGTGGGTTCATATTTGTAGATAACTTTACTGTAGATACAGATAATCACTCTAATGTTTGTTTGYAATTTCACCAAAATCAGTGGATGGGATTTAAATTACCCAGCTCCTGTCATACTATATTAGTTATTGCAATATAATTATATGCTGATTCAAGATCTGCTGTGCACCCTCATTGGAATGAATCACTTTAGTAAGAAAATTATTACAGCATGATGATCTGCAACAACTTGGTGAAACAAGCTCAGAAGAATGGACAAAGGATTTTGATTACTGTCCATCATGATGTGGAAAACACACAAGTGTTGGAGCAAATGAAGTGAAATACAACACAYGGAATATGTGACACTTTCTGCATGGTCATTACCATCACTACAGGGAGTTTCAATGAGATGCTTTACCTTGTTGTTCTCCTAATGCTAACCCTACTATGTTTTGTCTTAATCGTAGTATTATATATTTGCATTTGGGAAACCATGAAGCAATTTACTTACCTGTCATCTCTGTGAGGCAGGAAAATATGTGATGGCTGCAAAGTGAGACTTACAATATTTTAAGTATGGAAGTGGGGAATTGATAAATAAYAGGAGCAAAATTCCACATAATAGACAGAACAAAGCAATGGGAGCCACAGCCACAGTGGAATGCAAAAAACAGAAAATTGATCTCCTAGGTCGTTGAAGGTGAGAAAAAAAAAAAAAAAACCACACCCTTCTTATTCAGGGTCTTATATGATGGGCCAACAAACCCCAGGTTTCACTGATCCTGTGAGAACTTGCCCTTGCCATGAACTTTGCTCATTATATCCTAATTATAATAGCAAAAGCCACACCCCTAGCTCAGCCCCCTCTGCACACCAAGAGCTCTCTACTCACTGAGTACACACCACGACTTCTTGGGGCACTATACCTTGAGATTGAAGCAGAGGGGAAGATAACTGCAATTTAGCAATGAATTAAGATCTACTTGGCCTGAGACTGTAATCTCTAGGTGTGTCTGCCTTGTCTCCCTCTGTGCTAGTTCTGGGGATTCACTACCCAGCACCAGCTTCCGCACACAACTGTAAATAAATAAAATATCCAAAACAACGGGGCTGACAGTTTCCATTCCTTCAGTCAAAACTCACACAGTAAGTGAAGCCATTAGACTTTTTGGCATTGAGTAATTACTACATACTAGTAACACCAGGTTAGACAGAAGCCATGATATTGTAATGAATCCTGAGTACATCTAGTAACTCTTCTTATATTTTATTATCAGTAACAGAAACACAGCAAGATACAAGGCACACAGCTTTTGAGCATTGCACCACAGTGTGCTAAGTGCTGTACAGAATAGGAACTCACTTTTAAATAAACATAAGTATTTTAATGAATCTTAACATTTACGTGGCTGTTGAATAATGTAAATTCTTTTAGGCAGTATGAACTTCTCCAAGGTAGGCTGTGGCTTTTGGTGAGCCACTTGTAATGTTGCTGCATGGATTTTGTGGCTCATCTGTAACATTAAAAGGGGGAGAAAAATAGTTGTGATAGAATACAGCTTTTCAACTATTCTCTTTCTGAATGTCATTAKATTAAAGTAGGTTAAAAGGAGCAGTAAAACCTAAACCCACAAAAAGTTCAAGTGATCAATACATAGAATTTATAGTAACTTGATATATTTAGTTATAATTTCTGTTTTCAAAGTGGTATTAGTCTGGCTACCTTCAGGATTTTTTTTTTTCTTCCCTTGTTTAGTAGTTCACAGAATGAGCTTTCAAGATAAGGAAAACATAGCAAATAATCAGTATGCCAGAGTTAACACTAAGTTGATTCAGATTCTCATTTTTCCCAGATTGAAAACCATCATCATTACAGTAGCTAATTATCACTTTATAAACTTGTGAGGAGGTTTCATATATGAGATTGTGGGAACCARCAGGAGAAGGAACTGGTAGGTCAGAACATAGGAGATGAGGACAGGTGGAAAAAAACCAGAATCAGTTGCATCAGTACTCCAATAAAAAGTCTAAGCAMCAATTCAAAGTCTACAGCTAAAAGCTGTAAGCACAACTGTTGATGAAACACTTGTCTTGAAATGATGCAACTGATRTTTTACTGAGCTCTAGGGATGAGGAACTCTTGTGTGATTTAGTCTGAAGACTAAGTGTGTAACAAAGAAACATAACTGTCAGAATTTCAGATTACCAGGCAAACTAAAGAGCTGCTTGTGAAATCAGCTCTTCTAAAGTGCAAGTCTGCATCAAATGCCTAATGGAACACTGGSCTGTAAGCATGTGATGAACAGACGGGTCCATTAACAGTTGTGGGATAAAAGGTTTTACAGGATCCCATGGTATTCCTAAGGGACAAGTGGAAAGGTGCTGATGTCAGGCCTCAGATGAAACAGCTAGATATGGGGCACCAGTAGGATGTGCTGTGCCTGTTGTCTTGAGGATCATTCACAGARCAGGACACTGGATCACCATCCTGGTGTCCCCTTGCACTTGCCAGTGATGCCACCCACCTYCCTCAAGCAGTTCTTTTTGCTGGACCCTTACAGAAGTCAGAATGATTTCCACAGTGGGATAAAGCACTGAAGACAAGATTTTGCTCTGCACTGTAATCCCAGCTCTGTCAGACACCTACCTGCCACGGCAATTCTTCCCCAYATTTCACTAAAGCTAAAGCACCATGCCAGTTTACAAGCAGGACACACCTCACTATCTGGCTGTACTTCTCTGTAACTTCACATGTTACAACTACTCCAGGGCATGTACTAGTAACTAGGAGTGGAATCAAACAGCAGAATAAGGACAGAAGGCTATGTATTTTTAGCCACCCAGCATCTTAGCTACACAACCACTACAGAAACAGGTTATCCAAAGAACATTTAGTGGCAGATGAAAAACTTACAATTGCCAGAGAGCATTTTAAGGAAAATTCACTTTTAAACTTTCCTGCATGTTTAGCTTTATGAAGAAACCCTGACTTTTTCTTCCAGACTTACTTTGTTCAGTGCTTCTGCTACCAAGACACCCATGTTCTGAGGYTTTGAAAAACTGACAATAGCACTGTAAAGCAGAAGAAAAAATTATTTACCATTTCCATCTCGCAGAAACACTTTAGCACTTGTCACTTGCATTTTCCAGACTTAATACAAAACATTTTGCAACATAAATTTAGGGTTTAGAGCTAAATCCATTAATCACATTAAAGACTATAGAATATCAAAAAAGGTATGCTGTTTTAGAATGGAACAACACCARCTCTGTGTGACAGACTGTTTTACTCAAATATACAAAAATCTGTATATGAAATAACTTTAAATATTTCAAAAAGGGTTTTGTCTTTGTACACTGTAAAATAACTTCACAAAAGCTGAGCACTGATTTCTTGACCTACAAAAAAATCTTCTTGATTTCAACCTAGACCCATGAAAAAAATTCACCCTCTGCTTTTGGAGAGTGTTTCCTTTCATGGCAACTGTTTATCAAACAAGAACTTTTTTCACAAGATTATCCCATTTACTTCTCCATATTCCAATGAAGAACACCATGTTACCAGTATTCCACAAATAAACAAATCTGTAGATATGAAACAATTTAGCTCAACAACAGGAAGAACTTCAGATTTCACATTCTTCTGATGATACCATTGTATCCACTGACACCTGTGTAGCTTAAAATTGAGTAGGGAAAAATCATTATAAACCCTAAATACCATAAATGTGACTATTGAAAAAAACAGATATTGCTTTAGTAAAGTTAATGTTAAAGTTAAGGTAATGATTCTGTGGATCAGGCGAGACATTTCCTATTGACATTTCAATTTGGCAATCGACAGTTCACCACACTGACAAATATGTTATTCAAGATCTGTTTATATCGTTAGGTAACTATGACTATGGAAAAGACAGCTGCAAAATTACACCCAGACAACTGGCAATAAGTGGAAATAAAAAGCTTCTAATTCCTAAAAGAAGAATTCTAATTTCTAAAAGAAATTTTTTTTATTCTGAGTTGCAACACTACAAGTCATTCAAATTTTACTGTCATATCCTCATATTGGTCAACTTAACTTTTTGTTAAGTGACATTTAAGAAAAGTTCATGTATTTTAGAAAAACCTTTAATCTTCGTTTGAAAAGCTGCAAGAAATACTCATTCAAAATWGTTATTCAAAATAGAAGCATGTCTTCATTTTTGGGGCAAAATATCTCAATTAACCTTATGAAATAGCAAACAGAAAAAAACAAATTTGATTTTAGATTGAAACAGGGGGTATAGCTTATACTGGAGATGAGACTTTTCCTTGGGGGTAGTTGATGTGGGTTTAATTTCCTTCAGAATGTGGAAAGTCTAAATTTCATTCTTATTTCACCGGAAATTGTTTGACCATTGCTTTATTAGGCATAGGTATGCAACACATTGTTTTAATTTCTGTTCCATAAAACATGACAATAGAGATGAGATTCAATCTTTGCCGTTCATTTCAAGGCACTGTCCTTGGGGTTTGAGKTTTTTTTTTGAAGCTGATAATTATTTCAATATCAATAATATTTTATCAATATTATTTTACCTATACATTGCAGTAGTTAATTYAAGAATTAAATTCTTGTAGATGAAGAGTTTTCTTGGTTTTTAAAGCACCTTACATAAGAATTTTAACTACAGGGCAAGGGCAAACAGGCCCTACAGTGTAATACCTTGACTTTTCTTTTCCTGGAGGTTTAGCATTTTTCTCAGCAGGTCCATTTTCTTGCTTTTTAGACACTCTCATACCTCCAGCTTTAACTGCAAGAAGAAAGTGAAATGTAAGTAAACATACCTACAGAATTCCATACCATGTTACGTACAAGTAAAGAATACTTCTACCCCAGACAACCATTAACCAGAAATCATCTTACACTATTTAGCTCCATACTTTACTTGTACACATGCACACACAAGAGGTGAGAGTTCCAGCAAAGGCTTCAAAATTCTGTCTCATGGCAGATTCAAATCAACATCCAGATATGATAAATCAAGAAATCAGAGTGATTTCAGTCACTGCTAACTATATCAAATTTTAAGACCTTATTATGTTAGTATACATTCTTCCCCAGAAACTATTACCTGCCAGATTTGTATTTTAAAAATAAAAAATAAAAACAAACCATCATCTGAACACTTACAGGTTTTTGAACAATGACTAAAAGCAATAAGGGTTTCATGATTTGTTCAAGGTATTCTAGAATAAACCTATCCTCAGATAGGAACCAGATTTATACTTATCTTGTACTTGTGTTCCAACATGTTTAATTATATTTCATTAACATATCTGCCAATCACAAAATCAATTAGCACTAATTAMGCTACAGGCGGCCTAACAACAACAGTTTAAATTCTGAAGCATGTCTGAAAATTTAATTCAGAACAAAGAATGCGTAAAGTTATCTAAAACATTCTCTTGAAAGAAACACTTTCTCCCTCTTCAGCAGGGCATTTTAAGCTTTAAAACTGTGAGAATAAGAAAGAAAGAACAACCTTAGTGTGGTTTTCTCATCCTATTGAACAAGTCGCTTCATTYTGCAGCAAGGTTCCATTGTGATTGTGAACAATCAGAACTAGAGTTTAAATTTGGGGGCAGGAGAGAATAGGGAACGGAGAAAGGGATCTCCTTTACTCAGCTAGCTAGCATGAGAAAGGCATTTGGCCATTTTAGGGGTGCAGATGTAGCTATCTATAACACCCATTTTCTACCAAAACTGACTCCTGACCTTTTATTTCCTGATTGCAGGTTTAGTTTTAGAAACAAAAATTCTCCCTCAGTCATGTCCAAAGCAGCACTACAATATCAGTTATACTACAGCAAGACTTGGCTTTTCTTCTCTTTTAAAATTACATACATACAGTTAATTACACYGCTGCATAAGCAGCTAATTCTTTGCTCCTCCATCTTACAGCTGCAAATACGCTGGGGACCTAGACTGAACCTAATCCYTCTGGCAACCTAACTGCAAAATTCAAGTATCTGAAATGGAATTTTCAACCATTTCCAAGTATCTATCAGTAAAGCAAATTAAGATTCTAAATACCCTCRGCTCACAAGATGTGAAACTCTCTCTTGTCTTGAGGCATCTTCAAACTAGAATGACAAAGTATGTAAAAAAAACAAAGCCAAACAAAAATACCCCAAACCAAACATCAGCAACAACAAACTACACCACACAAAAAAAAAAGCCCTGGCATATTTCAAGATCTTAAAGATCTYCTTGACATCACTTCTCTTTATAGTAAGTTCATCCAGAACACCAAGGCAAGTTATCCCAAGTTCTCCCAGATTGTCAGGCCCTTGTCTTTATAGGAACCAGTCAAACCAGAAACAGGAGCCCCACTAAAATTTTGGAATTATATAAGAAAACCCCATAATTGAACCTAGATCTGCAACTTTTGGTTTGGAACCTTCCCACATGTGCAGGACTGGTAATTTCTATATATGGGGATTGTTTTTAATTTAATTTAGCAGGGCAAGGAAATACAGAGATAGACATTTTAACACTATGGCACTTTACACAAAACATGAGGGCAGCTTGGTGAGGAGAGATACCCAGCATGGGAAGAGATACTGAAACATGGACAATCYGGAATTGTGTCTACTACTAACAGGCCCACAAAACAATGTTATCTATAGTGATTAGAAATAACCCGTCTTCCTTTCCAGCTCCGCRCTGACTTGAAACTAGCCACCAGGAACAGCTGTCCCACCTGCTCACACACACCCATGGCAGGGGAAGAGTTAAACATAGATGCTTCTGGGCTGCACCACGAAGCTGGTTCATAATTTGCTTTCCAAAGCATTAGAGAAGTATGTCAAACTTTTAATACAGAGTTCAACTTTTTGATTTTGTGAGTGACCTGTTAGCCATGCARTCTAACAGCTAAGTGCCAAAATCTTTACTAATTTCCATTTTTAAAACACCATGTATTTTTAAAATTAAAAAAAGAGAATAAGGAGGCACATCCCCTTTCATGCTTCCCCCTCAAAAAAAAACCCCAACAAAACCAACACAAAAACAAACAAACAATTAAACAACACAAACCCAAACCAAAGTGAAAACAAAGACAACTCAGCTGAATCCTGATCAGAATAAAACCTGAACTTCGTTTACTAAGTGCATGGTTGAAACAACTTTTTCCTGCCATCTCCACCCCTCCGCCAAGCTGGTCCCCACTGCAGTCACAGGTAAGCTTCACTAAGACTTCCCTGCCGACTTGCAAAACTCCAAGTTGCAGTTTACTATCATGCAAGTTCAGAAAGAACTGCAGTACCTGCTCCAGCTCACTGACTGCAGTGGTTTAAAGGCCCTTTTCAGGTACAGCTCAACTGTCCCTGCTACACACACAAAAATGGAAGGAATGGACAAAAGACAAGCCGCAAAAACTATTTACATCACAAATTCATGCAAAAACATGCTAAAAAAAGCCCACCGAATAAAAATTACTTTCAAGAAAACAGGAAGATCTTAGGCGTAGACGGAGTACTACTACTGAGGCAGTAACTGCTCCTAATAAACAGAGGGGAAGCCCCAGCTGCCTTAGAGCGTTGTGGTGATGGTTCCTCAGTTCCAAGGCTGAGCCTGCAGTGAGTGTCCCCAGCTCTAAGG